TCACACACTGTAAAATCACACACTGTAAAATCACACACTGAATAATCACACACTGTAAAATCACACACTGTAAAATCACACACTGCAAAATCACACACTGCAGAATCACACACTGTAGAATCACACACTGCAGAATCACACACTGCAGAATCACACACTGCAGAATCACACACTGCAGAATCACACACTGTAAAATCACACACTGCAGAATCACACACTGTAAAATCACACACTGCAGAATCACACACTGTAAAATCACACACTGCAGAATCACACACTGTAAAATCACACACTGCAGAATCACACACTGTAAAATCACACACTGCAGAATCACACACTGTAAAATCACACACTGTAAAATCACACACTGAATAATCACACACTGTAAAATCACACACTGTAAAATCACACACTGCAGAATCACACACTGCAGAATCACACACTGCAGAATCACACACTGCAGAATCACACACTGCAGAATCACACACTGCAGAATCACACACTGCAGAATCACACACTGCAGAATCACACACTGTAAAATCACACACTGCAGAATCACACACTGTAAAATCACACACTGCAGAATCACACACTGTAAAATCACACACTGCAGAATCACACACTGTAAAATCACACACTGCAGAATCACACACTGTAAAATCACACACTGCAGAATCACACACTGTAAAATCACACACTGTAAAATCACACACTGAATAATCACACACTGTAAAATCACACACTGTAAAATCACACACTGCAAAATCACACACTGCAGAATCACACACTGTAGAATCACACACTGCAGAATCACACACTGCAGAATCACACACTGCAGAATCACACACTGCAGAATCACACACTGCAGAATCACACACTGTAAAATCACACACTGCAAAATCACACACTGCAGAATCACACACTGCAAAATCACACACTGCAGAATCACACACTGTAAAATCACACACTGCAAAATCACACACTGCAGAATCACACACTGTAAAATCACACACTGTAAAATCACACACTGCAGAATCACACACTGTAAAATCACACACTGCAGAATCACACACTGTAAAATCACACACTGCAGAATCACACACTGTAAAATCACACACTGTAAAATCACACACAGCAGAATCACACACTGCAGAATCACACACTGCAGAATCACACACTGCAGAATCACACACTGTAAAATCACACACTGCAGAATCACACACTTTAAAATCACACACTGTAAAATCACACACTGCAGAATCACACACTGTAAAATCACACACTGCAGAATCACACACTGCAGAACACTGGTTTTAGACTGGGTTAGTTCACGGCTGTTTGATGAATTTGACACACAGGACTAAGTTTCTCTGTTTTGTCCTAAATGTCACTGTGTTTTGGATTAAGCCCAAAGTGCAGGAAAAACAATAAAACTAAAGAGACTTGAAAACAATACTTAATAATGCATTCATCAGATTTTAACGAGGACTTTTACAATGTCTGTGGGTTTAGACTTAGACTTTATTGATCCACAGAGAAAGCTTGCATAGTATTTAACAATAAAAACAACATTAAAGTAACAATCAGAAATCAGAATAATAACATTGTGAGAACTGAATAATCTGGATATTGTTGTTCAGTAAGAAACACATCTGTGAATATGTGCACATTTATAAAATACATCTGTTCAGGTTCAATATACTGTAAAAAGACTCAGGCTGTAGACCCAGGACTGTGCAGATGGAGGAGACAGAGACCAGGAGGAGAGGAGGAGGAGACCAGGGGAAGACCAGGAGGAGAGCAGGAGGAGAGCAGGGGAAGACCAGGGGGAGACCAGGAGGAGAGCAGGAGGAGAACAGGGGGAGACCAGGAGGAGAGCAGGAGGAGACCAGGAGGAGAGGAGGAGGAGAGCAGGGGGAGACCAGGGGGAGAGCAGGGGGAGACCAGGAGGAGAGCAGGGGGAGACCAGGAGGAGATCAGGAGGAGAACAGGAGGAGACCAGGAGGAGAGCAGGAGGAGACCAGGAGGAGACCAGGGGGAGACCAAGGGGAGACCAGGGGGAGACCAGGAGGAGAGCAGGAGGAGAGCAGGAGGAGACCAGGAGGAGACCAGGAGGAGACCAGGAGGAGAGCAGGGGAAGACCAGGAGGAGATCAGGAGGAGAACAGGAGGAGACCAGGAGGAGAGCAGGAGGAGACCAGGAGGAGAGCAGGAGGAGGCCAGGGCGAGACCAGGAGGAGAGCAGGAGGAGAGCAGGAGGAGAGCAGGAGGAGGCCAGGGCGAGACCAGGAGGAGACCAGGAGGAGAGCAGGAGAAGACCAGGAGGAGAGCAGGAGCAGAGCAGGAGGAGAGCAGGAGCAGAGCAGGAGAAAACCAGGGGGAAACCAGGAGGAGACCAGGAGGAGAGCAGGAGGAGGCCAGGGCGAGACCAGGAGGAGAGCAGGAGGAGGCCAGGGCGAGACCAGGAGGAAACCAGGAGGAGACCAGGGGAGACCATGAGGAGACCAGGAGGAGAGCAGGGGAAGACCAGGAGGAGAGCAGGAGCAGAGCAGGAGGAGAGCAGGAGCAGAGCAGGAGAAAACCAGGGGGAAACCAGGAGGAGACCAGGAGGAGAGCAGGAGGAGGCCAGGGCGAGACCAGGAGGAGAGCAGGAGGAGGCCAGGGCGAGACCAGGAGGAGAGCAGGAGGAGGCCAGGGCGAGACCAGGAGGAGAGCAGGAGCAGAGCAGGAGGAGAGCAGGAGCAGAGCAGGAGAAAACCAGGGGGAAACCAGGAGGAGATCAGGAGGAGAGCAGGAGGAGGCCAGGGCGAGACCAGGAGGAGAGCAGGAGGAGGCCAGGGCGAGACCAGGAGGAGAGCAGGAGGAGGCCAGGGCGAGACCAGGAGGAAACCAGGAGGAGACCAGGGGAGACCATGAGGAGACCAGGAGGAGAGCAGGGGAAGACCAGGAGGAGAGCAGGAGCAGAGCAGGAGAAAACCAGGGGGAGACCAGGAGGAGACCAGGAGGAGAGCAGGAGGAGAGCAGGAGGAGACCAGGAGGAGAGCAGGAGCAGAGCAGGAGAAAACCAGGGGGAGACCAGGAGGAGACCAGGAGGAGAGCAGGAGGAGGCCAGGGCGAGACCAGGAGGAGAGCAGGAGGAAACCAGGAGGAGACCAGGGGAGACCATGAGGAAACCAGGAGGAGACCAGGAGGAGACCAGGAGGAGACCAGGGGGAGACCAGGAGGAAACCAGGAGGAGACCAGGGGAGACCATGAGGAAACCAGGAGGAGACCAGGATTAAACCAGGAGGAGACCAGGGGAGACCATGAGGAAACCAGGAGGAGACCAGGAGGAGACCAGGAGGAGACCAGGCACTGTGTCTCTCAGCTGACCTGGGAACGCCTCAGGATTCCCCCTGATGAGCTGGAAGAAGTGTCTGGGGAGAGGGAAGTCAGAATGAAATGAACAGATAATTGTGTTTATGAAAAGGAGAGTTTTTGGATGAAGAATCTTAAACAAGTCCAAATGAGCTTCTTCCAATGTCAGAGTCGTTCTCTTAGTTCACAGATTATGACTTGTTTAAAGGTTCTCTGTGTAGTTTACGGTCCTACGGTGGCTGTGCGGGACAATATGTGGTCTTTGACTGTGGTCAACTCCTGCTCAAACTGCTTTTTGTCCCTAATCACCCACTGTATTTAGAGATGGCGGATTGTCATGTGGAGTCCTCCAGCCTCATGGACTTTCTCTCTGTGGTCTCTCTGTCTCTCTCTGGTCTCTCTCTGGTCTCACTCTGGTCTCTGTGGTCTCTCTCTCTCTGTCTCTCTCTGGTCTCTCTGTGGTCTCTGGGGTCTCTCTCTCTGGTCTCTCTCTGGTCTCTCTCTGGTCTCTCTCTGGTCTCTGTGGTCTCTCTCTCTCTCTCTGGTCTCTCTCTGGTCTCTCTCTGGTCTCTCTCTGGTCTCTCTCTGGTCTCTGTGGTCTCTCTCTCTCTCTCTGGTCTCTCTCTGGTCTCTCTCTGGTCTCTCTCTGGTCTCTGTGGTCTCTCTCTCTCTCTCTCTGGTCTTTCTCTGGTCTCTCTCTGGTCTCTCTCTGGTCTCTCTCTGGTCTCTCTCTGGTCTCTGTGGTCTCTCTCTCTCTCTCTCTCTGGTCTCTCTCTCTGGTCTCTCTCTGGTCTCTCTCTGGTCTCTCTCTGGTCTCTCTCTGGTCTCTATCTGGCCTCTCTCTGGCCTCTCTCTGGTCTCTCTCTGGTCTCTCTCTGGCCTCTCTCTGGCCTCTCTCTGGTCTCTCTCTGGTCTCTCTCTGGTCTCTCTCTGGTCTCTCTCTGGTCTCTCTCTGGTCTCTCTCTGGTCTCTCTCTGGTCTCTCTCTGGTCTCTCTCTGTGGTCTCTCTCTCTCTCTCTCTCTCTGGCCTCTCTCTGGTCTCTCTCTGGTCTCTCTCTGGTCTCTCTCTGGTCTCTCTTTGGCCTCTCTCTGGTCTCTCTCTGGTCTCTCTCTGGTCTCTCTCTGGTCTCTCTCTGGCCTCTCTCTGGTCTCTCTCTGGTCTCTCTCTGGTCTCTCTCTGGTCTCTCTCTGGTCTCTCTCTGGCCTCTCTCTGGTCTCTCTCTGGTCTCTCTCTGGTCTCTCTCTGGTCTCTCTCTGGCCTCTCTCTGGTCTCTCTCTGGTCTCTCTCTGGTCTCTCTCTGGTCTCTCTGAAATACAGAGAGAAAGTCAGATTCTAAGCCTTTGACACGAATTCAAAAACATGGTGGAGGTAAATATTCTTAAAGAGGTCACATTTTGTTATATGTTTTTCCATTTGGAGCAACTGTAGAAATGACGGAGAGGAGCTTTAAAGCTGGAGGTGTTTGTGAACGACAGGAGAGAAGAGTGTGATGTCTGCTGTGAACGCACAAGTTTAATCATTGACTTTAAACAAGATCTTTATGAGCGTTTGCTTATGGCCCAGTCCTCTGCCGGGGACTCAGAGTTCACTGAGCAGACGTCTGGGGAAACAGTTTCTCACTCAACGACATCACAACAGTTCTGTCTGGATTCATAGTCGTTCTGTGTCGTTTTTATCTGTTTTTATCTGTTTTTAGCCCGAGCAGCTGTGAGTGTGTGTTTTACAGTGTAGTGCAGAGGCATGTGTTCTGTAGTAACCAGAGGTGTGTCTGTTTATTCAACACTGACTCAGCACAGGCCGGAAAACCAGGACCAGGAACTACATACTACTGCTGCAGGAGAGAGACCAGGAGGAGACTAGGGAGGGACCAGAGAGCGACCAGAGAGAAACCAGAGAGAGACCAGAGAGAGACCAGAGAGAGACCAGAGAGGGACCAGCGAGAGAGCAGGGAAGGACCAGAGAGAGACCAGAGAGGGAGCAGAGAGAGACCAGAGGGAGAGAGCAGTGAGAGACCAGAGAGAGAGCAGGGAAAGACCAGGAAGAGACTAGGGGGGGGGGCAGGGAGATACCAGAGAGAGACCAGAGAGAGACCAGGGAGAGACCAGAGAAAGACCAGCGAGAGACCAGAGAGAGACCAGAGAGGGAGCAGAGAGAGAGCAGAGAGAGAGAGACCAGAGAGAGACCAGAGAGAGACCAGAGAGAGACCAGAGAGAGACCAGAGAGAGACCAGAGAGAGACCAGAGGGAGAGCAGAGAGGCAGGGAGAGGCCAAAGGGGGGCCCGAGACAGACCAGGGAGAGATCCCAGAGAGAGACCAATATGAGATTTACAATGTTCTGAATCTAATATTCAAACACAACCCGCTGAACTAAACTATCGCTGCCTCTCTGCCTCAAACATGCCTCGACTCGCTCTCAGAGAAACCTACAATTAGACCTGGAATTACACTGGATCAATCTCAAGAAGTAATATTACAACAGCTCCGTCTGTGATGTCATAGATCAGACAGGTTCAAATCAGAGCATTCTGGGAATTTAGATTCAGAGATAGACCCAAGAGAGACCAGAGCAAGACCAGAGAGAGTACAAGGACCAGAGAGAGATCAGAGAGAGACCAGAGAGAGACCAGAGAGAGACCAGAGAGAGACCAGAGAAAGAGACCAGAGAGAGACCAGAGAAAGACCAGAGAGAGAGACCAGAGAGAGGACAGGGAGAGAAAAGAGAGAGAGGCCAGAGATAGAGACCAGAGAGACACCAGAGAGAGGATGGGGAGACACCAGAGTGAGACCAGCGAGAGACCAGAGAGAGACCAGAGAGAGACCAGAGAGAGACCAGAGAGAGACCAGAGAGAGACCAGAGAGAGACCAGAGAGAGACCAGAGAGAGACCAGAGAGAGACCAGAGAGAGATCAGAGAGAGACCAGAGAGAGACCAGAGAGAGACCAGAGAGAGACCAGAGAGAGACCAGAGAGAGACCAGAGAGAGACCAGAGAGAGACCAGAGAGAGACCAGAGAGAGACCAGAGAGAGACCAGAGAGAGGCCAGAGAGAGCCTAACAAATGGAACTACAGCCACCTCACATGACTGGATGTAGCAATTACTTTTACAAATGACTGGTTTGAGTTTATTGTTTAATCAAAGAAGACAATTATTATGGGCTCAGTGAGAGACGAGGCACAGGTCAGAACAAGCAGCGCCCACTTCCACCCGGAGACCGCCGGAAACAGTCATAATGATAAATAATAATGTTTTTTGCTTCTCAGGACACTCAAAGACGCCCTGCACAGCTTCACCTGCAGGGGGCGCCACAGTATCTGCATGTACATGTGAAAGTACATGCATCCTGTCTCTACGTTCTATAGTAAAGTACCACTGAGGAACTTTCACGGTGTAATAGTACGGTACAGCCACATTCAATTCAGTTCAGTTCAGTTCCATTTGTGTGTATGTGTGTGTTTAAATCACAACAGTAGCTCTCTCAGAGGACTTTACAAAAATGTCGATTCTCCAACACAGATCAGAGAATCAAACAGTTCAAACACAAGAAATGCAATTATATATATGAAAAAGACATTGGTTCATAATGTGGGCGACAGTAGCTCAGTTGGTAGAGCATTGGCTTTTGAGCCTGAAGGTCGTGGGTTCGAGCCCACCTCAAGACCTACTTCACGACTCCCACTGATGACTGCTGTCGTTGTGTCCTTGGGCAAGACACTTAACCCCACTTTGCCTGAAGCTCCCACTGAAAGATCTCAGCTCCTGTGGACTCACCACCTGCAGGAGGATCAGTGAGGGGCTGGTGCTCTGTGGACTGGGTGCAGCTCTGACTGCCACCCCCCAACCCAGAAATGGATTAAGGGGAAGAAAATGGATGGATGGTTCATAAGGAACAGAGACCAATGTCTATAAACGTGGATAAAATAGTCCGCTGTGATCGCTATGAGATCACATGGTCACATAGATTGATCTCTCTCTCTGGTCTCTCTGGTCCCTGTTTACTGTGACTTCAGAGGTTTCTTTTTGAAAGAGGTAAAACATTTTTACCCATTTATTTTGACATTATCCTGTCCTCCCCAGTGGTATATACTGACACGGGTCCAAACAACACGCCAACCTTCCCCACTGTTGTCCTGGGTCAACAGACTTTCACCTCTGGTCCAAAAACATGTGTTGCCTGTAAATCCATTATTATTCCGTTATTTTTCCATTATCATGAGTCATGTCTGATGTGTGTTGCAGACCATGTCCTGTAACGGGGTCCTCCCGGAGAACCGCCTGCGCTGCCCGCTCTGCTCGCTCGTCTTCACCGACCCCGTCACCACGCCCTGCGGCCACAACTTCTGCCACAGCTGCCTGGAGGCGGCCTGGAGCCAGAGCGACTGCCAGTGCCCCACCTGCCAGAGGAGCTTCTCCCCGCGGCCGGAGATGGTGGTGAACGTGGCCTTCAAAGAGCTGGCTGACACCTTCAGGAGCGTCGTGGTCCCGCAGGCCACGCTCACTCAGGCCACGCCCCCTCAGGACGGAGCGGGTCCCGGGGAGGTGCCCTGTGCCGTGTGTCTGGCGGGCGGCCTGCAGGTGGCGGCGTCGCGCTCCTGCTTGGTGTGTCTGACTTCTTACTGCGCGCTGCACCTAGAGCCGCACCAGCAGGTGGCGGCGCTGCGCCTGCACAAGCTCATGGCGCCTGTGGCCGACCTGCGCACGCGGCTCTGCGCCAAACACGAGCAGCTGCTCGAGCTGTTCTGCAGAGAAGAACGGGAACCGGTCTGCAGGTTCTGCATCGAGACCGAGCACAAGGAACACACTGCAGTCAGCGTGGAGCAGGAGAGCGAGGACCGGAAGGTGAGACCGAAGCTCAGGAGAGTCCTGGGTCTAGAGCCTCAGTCCTGGGTCTACAGCCTCAGTCCTGGGTCTACAGCCTCAGTCCTGGGTCTACAGCCTCAGTCCTGGGTCTACAGCCTCAGTCCTGGATTTACAGCCTCAGTCCTGGGTCTACAGCCTCAGTCCTGGGTCTACAGCCTCAGTCCTGGATCTACAGCCTCAGTCCTGGGTCTACAGCCTCAGTCCTGGGTCTACAGCCTCAGTCCTGGGTCTACAGCCTCAGTCCTGGGTCTACAGCCTCAGTCCTGGGTCTACAGCCTCAGTCCTGGGTCTACAGCCTCAGTCCTGGGTCTACAGCCTCAGTCCTGGATTTACAGCCTCAGTCCTGGGTCTACAGCCTCAGTCCTGGGTCTACAGCCTCAGTCCTGGGTCTACAGCCTCAGTCCTGGATCTACAGCCTCAGTCCTGGATCTACAGCCTCAGTCCTGGATCTACAGCCTCAGTCCTGGGTCTACAGCCTCAGTCCTGGGTCTACAGCCTCAGTCCTGGGTCTACAGCCTCAGTCCTGGGTCTACAGCCTCAGTCCTGGGTCTACAGCCTCAGTCCTGGGTCTACAGCCTCAGTCCTGGGTCTACAGCCTCAGTCCTGGGTCTACAGCCTCAGTCCTGGGTCTACAGCCTCAGTCCTGGATCTACAGCCTCAGTCCTGGATCTACAGCCTCAGTCCTGGATCTACAGCCTCAGTCCTGGGTCTACAGCCTCAGTCCTGGGTCTACAGCCTCAGTCCTGGGTCTACAGCCTCAGTCCTGGGTCTAAGGACAGAGAGGATTCAGGACATTTGACATTCAAAGACATTTATGGAGATTTATTAATATTTATGGGACCAATTTGTGTTTTTTTATCACTACCCTACTCTATTCTACCCCACTCTACCCCACTCTACTCTACTCTACTCTACTCTACTCTACTCTACCCTACCCTAATCTACTCTACTCTACTCTACTCTACTCTACCCTACCCTAATCTACTCTACTCTACTCTACTCTACCCTACTCTACTCTACTCTACTCTACTCTACTCTACTCTACTCTACTCTACTCTACTCTTCACCAGAACCCAACCCGGTCCACAGAACTGATTGGGAGCAATAGAATGTCTCCTTTAGATAAAATGATAGAATCCTCTTTGGTGAAAATAAACAATATTTTGCTGATATTTTATTTTCTTCTGTTAGTTCACAGTTCTAAATACCCAATAGTTCCGTCTCCACCAGTCCCTACTTGGCCCAACGCTAGCTTCAGCTGAACACGCTGTAACATTAACACAAAGTACGAGTCTTTGGTCTTCAGGGTCCAGAGGCCGCAGTACCCAGTTGGACCACAAGGGGCAGACCATTTGTTATGTTCTTATCTTAATCCATGTGTTCTGTTTGTTTTGTTTTTATTTCAGGCTGAAATCACAAACATTGAAGCTCAATTCAAAAACCTGATCGAGCAGCGACTGGAGAAAGAGCAAGAAATCTCTAACTCTCTCCAGAAACGAAAGGTCTGTAGCTGTGTTTAGCTCCATCCACACCGCCCTCTGCTGGCAGCATGAGGAATTACATGCCTTATTTACTCTTCATACTTGTTTCTCCACATGATGCGATTACTCCAGGTTATAAAACCAGGAAATGACAAAGTAAAAAGTCTGATAATCATTGTATGGTCATAAACAATGCATAGTTGTCATGGTTACCACATTCTCAGAGATAAGTCTATGTTTAAATCTGTTTCGTTGGTGATTGACAGAAGAGCGCCGAGAAGGAGCTGGGCCACAGTGAGGAGCTGTTCTCCTCCCTGATGGAGCTGCTGAAGGAGCATCAGCAGGAGGTGACTGATGCTGTGGTCGCGGACAGCGAGAAGGCCGAGGCTCGAGCCGAAGACCTGAGCCGGACCCTTCAGGAGGAGGTCCAGGAGCTGAGGACCAGGACCCGAGAGCTGGAGGAGCTGCGGCAGTCTGAGGACCATCTGCACGTGATCCAGGTGAGAGGGGGAGGGGCTACAGGTGAGAGGGGGAGGAGCTACATGTAATCCAGGTGAGAGGGGAGGGGCTACAGGTGAGAGGAGAGGAGCTACAGGTGAGAGGGGGAGGAGCTACAGATGAGAGGGGCAGGGGCTACAGGTGAGAGGAGAGGCGCTACAGGTCAGAGGGGGAGGAGCTACAGTTGATTCAGGTAAGAGGGGGAGGGGCTACAGGTAATCCAGGTGAGAGGGGGAGGGGCTACAGGTGAGAGGAGAGGCGCTACAGGTCAGAGGGGGAGGAGCTACAGGTGATTCAGGTAAGAGGGGGAGGGGCTACAGGTAATCCAGGTGAGAGGGGGAGGGGCTACAGGTGAGAGGAGAGGAGCTACAGGTGAGGGGGGAGGAGCTACAGGAGATCCAGGTGAGAGGGGGAGGAGCTGCAGGTGAGAGAGGGAGGAGCTACAGGTGAGAGGGGGAGGAATTACAGGTGAGAGAGGGAGGGGCTACAGGTGAGAGGGGGAGGGACTTAGTGTGATACAGGTGAGAGGGAGAGGAGCTGCAGGTGAGAGAGGGAGGAGCTACAGGGTGAGGGGGGAGGAACTACATGTGAGAGGGGGAGGAACTACAGGGGAGGGGGAGGGGCTACAGGTGATCCAGGTGAGAGTGGGAGGGGCTACAAGTTAGAGGTGGAGGAGCTACAATTGAGAGGGGAAGGGGCTACAGGTGAAAGAGGTAGGAGCAACAGATGATCCAGGTGAGAGGGGGAGGAACTACAGGTGAGCGGGGGCTACAGGTGAGAGGGAGAGGAGATACAGGTGATCCAGGTGAGAGTGGGAGGAGCTACATGTGATACAGGTGGAAGGGGGAGGAGCTACAGATGATGCAGATGAGAGGGATAGATTGTGTTCAGTAGATACAGTAGAGCAAAGTATTACAATATCTAATTATATATTTGTGATGGTGACATTGGCCTTTGAGCCTGAAGGTTGCTGGTTTTATTCCCCCATGAGACCTACTCCACCATCTCCCACTGATGTCTGCTGTCATTGTGTCCTTGGGCAAGACACTACATTTTTGTAAAGCCTTTGAATAACATGAGGGACATGAATCTCAACACATCACAAAACTGGCTGAAAAGCTCAAATACAGAATTGTAAATCTTGAATTGTGGCCCATATATTGCAAAACTTTCAATTCTTTACACTTGTGCCAGTCCCCAGCCCTACTGTCTGTTTCTGTTCCAGCGGTTGCCGTTGGTCTCGTCTTCTCCGGTCTCCAGAGACTGGTCTGAGCTGAGTCTGGCCTCGAGGCCCTGTGTGGGGACCCTGACCTCGGCTCTGTGCAAACTGCAGGACACTGTGGACAAACACGTGGACTCTCTGAAGAGCCAGGGTGAGCTTTTACTTTCACTTTCACTTATCTGTGAAATAATCAGAATGTCAGCAAGTGTGTCAGAATGTGCAATACAGAACCACATGTGCAATGCAGAACCACATGTGTCAGAATGTGCAATATAAAACATACAACTTTATATTACTGCACTAGAATATACAGGATATATATTTGCTTCATAATTATGCTAAAGTTCAAGTTTTTATTTTTATTCATTTTAGTATGGAGATAAAAGTATATAGAAGGATTTTCCCATGTATTTTAGGAAAGAACCGCCCTCTCCACGTTATGAAAAATCTCTTTGGTCTTATTGGACGAGCACGTATCACCAGAATGATTGACAGCTGGGAGGACCAATAGTTTTGATGATCCACCCGGAAGTAGAAAATCCCATAAACCTCCTCATTCCTTCTGTTCTGTAACTGGGGATGCAACACTGACATTTTCCCCACTATGTTCATCTGATAATCTGTATATTAATCCTAAACTTAATCCTAATCTTAATCTTAATCTGAATCCAACGAATGCTTTTGTTTGACAGAAATGAAGACGGTGCAGAAATACGCAGGTTTGTTTCATATTTTCCTATCTGTGTTTGTCTCTGGGGTCTTTAAACATGAGGATAGTTTATGGTTCATAATGTGGAGAAATATCTAAAGTATTGGAAATTATGGTGAAGTCGGGTTGAAAATTACAGTCGCAAGCAGCAATGAATGGCCCTCACCTTTGCCAAACCACGCCCCTTACTCTGCTGAGGGTTGTAGTGTGTGTAGTGTGTAGGTGTGGCTGAGGGTTTGTATGTATTGTGTAGGGGTAGCTAAGGGTTGTGTGTATTGTGTAGGGGTAGCTAAGGGTTGTGTGTATTGTGTTGTGGTAGCTAAAGGTTGTGTTTATGGGGAGTGTAGGGGTAGCTAAGGCTTGTGTGTATTGTGTTGTGGTAGCTAAAGGTTGTGTTTATGGGGAGTGTAGGGGTAGCTAAGGCTTGTGTGTATTGTGTAGGGGTAGCTAAGGCTTGTGTGTATTGTGTTGTGGAAGCTAAAGGTTGTGTTTATGGGGAGTGTAGGGGTAGCTAAGGGTTGTGTGTTGCTAACCCTCCCGTCATTGTCCCTGTGTCTTCTTTTGTGTGTTCATTTATCTTGTGTTGTGTGCCCCTCTTTCCTACTGTTCTCTAACTTGTCACTATGGGATGAATAAAGGATATCTTAATCTGAATCTCCTCAGTGGATGTGGTCCTGGACCCCCACACGGCCCACCCCAACATCGTCCTCTCCCCCGATGGGAAGCAGGCGGGACGGGGGGAGCTGCTGCACGTGGTCCCGGACAACCCCCAGCGCTTCGACCCCGTCATCTGCGTCCTCGCCACCAGGGGGTTCAGCTCCGGACGCTTCTACTTCCAGGTCAGAGAACGGAGATGCCATGGCTCCCAAGCCCCGCCAATCCAAGATGGCCGCTCACACCAGCGCTGACATCACTGAGGCTGAAGCAGAAGCAGCACCACATTATTTAGACTTTGTTAAAGAGTTTATGGTCAAACTAAAGCTCCATCAACCTCACGCTAGCATCATACGCTGTAGTGTGTATTTAGTAGTTTGTATTTATATATTTGGGGAAAGTAACTTCAAAGTAATGGAGTAGTGAAATACTTTACCCAGAGACAGTAATATTGTAGCAACACATTACTTTAAAATAAGAGACACTGGCGGCAGCTCCCTGATCTAAAGTCGGATCTAAAGTTATCTTTAAAGTCTATAGATTCACTGTGCTGTGCTGTGCTGTGCTGTGCTGTGCTGTGCTGTAGTGTACTGTACTGTACTGTACTGTTCTGTACTGTACTGTTCTGTACTGTACTGTTCTGTACTGTACTGTACTGTGCTGTGCTGTACTGTACTGTACTGTACTGTACTGTACTGTACTGTGCTGTGCTGTACTGTACTGTACTGTACTGTACTGTACTGTACTGTACTGTGCTGTGCTGTGCTGTACTGTACTGTACTGTACTGTACTGTACTGTACTGTACTGTACTGTGCTGTGCTGTGCTGTGCTGTGCTGTACTGTACTGTACTGTACTGTACTGTACTGTACTGTACTGTACTGTACTGTGCTGTGCTGTGCTGTGCTGTACTGTACTGTACTGTACTGTACTGTACTGTACTGTGCTGTGCTGTGCTGTGCTGTACTGTACTGTACTGTACTGTACTGTACTGTACTGTACTGTACTGTACTGTGCTGTGCTGTACTTGCCTTTGAAGTAACAGAGTGTACTTTCTGGCAGGTGTTTGTGGGCTCCAAGACCTTCTGGGACCTGGGCGTGGTGCTGGAGTCGGTGAACCGTAAAGGCATGATCACGTCCAAACCAGAAAACGGCTTCTGGACGGTGCGGCTGCGCGACGGCGACGAGTACCGCGCTCTGGACTCGCCCTCGGTGCTGCTAAAGCCGCGGGCGCCGCCCAAGACGGTGGGCGTGTACGTGGACTACGAGCACGGCGCCGTGCGCTTCTACGACGTGGACGCCAAAGTCCTGATCTACGCCTTCAGCGGCTGCAGCTTCTCCCAGCGCCTCTTCCCCTTCTTCAGCCCCGGAGTCTGCGACGGAGGAAAGAACGTGGCTCCTCTAATCCTGATGCCGGTGAAGCCCGAGAGAGCGGCGTAGGACCCAGGCCAACGGGGAAGAGCTCAGGGTCAGAGTTTTACTGGAGCCGGTGAAGCCCGAGAGAGCGGCGTAGGACCCAGGCCAACGGGGAAGAGCTCAGGGTCAGAGTTTTACTGGAGCCGGTGAAGCCCGAGAGAGCGGCGTAGGACCCAGGCCAACGGGGAAGAGCTCAGGGTCAGAGTTTTACTGGAGCCTGTGAAGCCCGAGAGAGCGGCGTAGGACCCTGGCCAACGGGGGAAGAGCTCAGGGACAGAGTTTTACTGGAGCCTGTGAAGCCCGAGAGAGCGGCGTAGGACCCTGGCCAACGGGGGAAGAGCTCAGGGATAGAGTTTTACTGGAGCCTGTGGAGTTTTTACATCCTCATTAAAAACAGAACTGCAGTTGTTTTTATCTTCTCTTCTCAGGAACTCGAACACCACCAACTCGAGCCAAACAGTGATCAATGTGACGAGTCCGTGACGAGTCCGTGACGAGTTATATTTGTTTTTTCTTCTGTGATGATGCAGAAGTTGGATTGACACTAATAAGAGAGGGACGCTCAAATCACACACTTCTCTGAACTGGACACAGGGGCCACAACATCAGTATCTGTCTCAGCAGCTCTCTCAGCAGCTCTCTCAGCCGCTCGCTCAGCAGCTCTCTCAGCAGCTCTCTCAGCAGCTCTCTGAGTAGCTCTCTCAGCAGCTCTCTCAGCAGCTCTCTCAGCAGCTCTCTCAGAAGCTCTCTGAGTAGCTCTCTCAGCAGCTCTCTCAGCAGCTCTCTCAGCAGCTCTCTCAGAAGCTCTCTCAGCAGCTCTCTCAGCAGCTCTCTCAGCAGCTCTCTCAGCAGCTCTCTCAGTCCAGTTCCTGGGCTCCTGAAGTGAAAAATGCCTTTCTATGTGACCATGGACATGGCAATAGTGACCCAGTTCATTGGCAAGACCTTCTCCTGCCTCACTGACCAAGACACTTAACCCCACTCTGCCTGAAGCCCCCCCTGACCGTGTGGTCGCTGACGCAGCAGCCTCCTGGACTCACCTCCTGCAGGAGGATCAGTGAAGGAGGAGCCTGAGGTCGCTTCATGACCTCACGGCTTCATAGAAGGTGAAGTTCACTTCTGGAGCCTGGAGATCCTGGGACGACAGAGCTCTGTAATGGACCATGGTGGGTCAGGGGTCCAGACCCTGTGGTCCAGACCCTGTGGTCCAGACCCTGTGGTCCAGACCCTGTGGTCCAGACCCTGTGGTCCAGACCCTGTGGTCCAGACCCTGTGGTCCAGACCTTGTGGTCCAGACCCTGTGGTCCAGACCCTGTACCTTTATGTATTTCTCTGTCATCGCCTCCTGTTCAGGTTTAGCTCAACACTGAATCTTTAACACTCTCAGTGCAGACCAGTCTGGTTTTATCTCTACATTCAATTCTTCCCAAAGTATTACAGAGACTGTCCAAAGTACAATGTGTAACTTTATGCAAATGCAAATCAATCACTAAAAACAAATCAATTGGACCTTCTTTCTCAAAGTGCTGAACGAAACATAATATATAATATTAATATAATCACAATCCCTGCAGCTAAACCTGTTTTAACCTGGATTTGAACACTCACATTTTCAGGAAGACTGTTCCAGACTTTAGCTGCATGAATCTGAAGTGATCAGTAGAAGACCACTACACTCAAAGAGCTACAGTTACTGTTGGTAACTTTCCCAGTGCATGGTGCGTGGTGTTACTGAGTACACTTAATACATGTTGTGCTGTGTTAAAGCTGGGGTGTGTAACTTTCAATCAACGGCAATAGAATATTAAAATCCATGTCTTTCCTGTCAGAGCCCAAAGAGTCAAAGAGTGACTCCTAAGGCAGATGACACACACTGTAATGTCACACACCCCAGCTTTATGAATGTAGACTGTCGTTCCCTGTGTCCACAGAGCTCCACATTAAAGCTGGGGTCTCTGATTTTACAAAGGCTAAAGGTGGGACTGCTGTAAGGAGCTGGGTTTTTAATATTGTACTTGAATTTTTGTGTTTACAAAATGGTTTATTAATGATGTTCCTACTGTCAGAATATGACTTTACTTTAATTATTGAATGATAAGAACAATACGACACTGTCACGACAAAGAAACACCACTTATGGTTCTACTGACACTTTTTTATGCATTTGAACAAAGACTCTCTCTCTCTCTGGTCTCTCTCTGGTCTCTCTCTGGTCTCTCTCTGGTCTCTCTCTGGTCTCTCTCTGGTCTCTCTCTGGTCTCTCTCTGGTCTCTCTCTCTCTCTCTGGTCTTTCTCTGGTCTCTCTCTGGTCTCTCTCTGGTCTCTCTCTGGTCTCTCTCTGGTCTCTCTCTGGTCTCTCTCTGGTCTCTCTATGGTCTCTCTCTGGTCTCTCTCTCTCTCTCTGGTCTCTCTCTGGTCTCTCTCTGGTCTCTCTCTGGTCTCTCTCTGGTCTCTCTCTCTCTCTCTGGTCTCTCTCTGGTCTCTCTCTCTGGTCTCTCTCTGGTCTCTCTCTCTCTCTCTGGTCTTTCTCTGGTCTCTCTCTGGTCTCTCTCTGGTCTCTCTCTGGTCTCTCTCTCTCTCTCTGGTCTCTCTCTGGTCTCTCTCTGGTCTCTCTCTCTCTCTCTGGTCTCTCTCTGGTCTCTCTTTCTGGTCTCTCTCTGGTCTCTCTCTCTGGTCTCTCTCTCTGGTCTCTCTTTTCGGTCTTACTTTGGTCTATCTCTGGTCTCTCTGTCTGGTCTCTCTGGTCTCTCTGGTCTGTCTGGTCTCTCTCTGGTCTCTCTGGTCTGTCTGGTCTCTCTCTGGTCTCTCTGGTCTGTCTGGTCTCTCTCTGGTCACTCTGGTCTGTCTGGTCTCTCTCTGGTCTGTCTGGTCTCTCTCTGGTCTCTCTCTGGCCTCCCTCTGGTCTCTTTTTGTTCTCTCTGGTCGCTCTCTGGTCTCTCATCTCTCTGGTCTCTTCGGTCTCTGTTTCTGGTCTCTCTCTGGTCTCCCTCTGGTCTCTCTCTGGTCTCTCTCTGGTCTCTCTGGTCTGTCTGGTCTCTCTCTGGTCGCTCTGGTCTGTCTGGTCTCTCTCTGGTCTCTCTGGTCTGTCTGGTCTCTCTCTGGTTGCTCTCTGGCCTCCCTCTGGTCTCTTTTTGTTCTCTCTGGTCGCTCTCTGGTCTCTCATCTCTCTGGTCTCTTCGGTCTCTGTTTCTGGTCTCTCTCTGGTCTCCCTCTGGTCTCTCTCTGGTCTCTCTCTGGTCTCTCTGGTCTGTCTGGTCTCTCTCTGGTCGCTCTCTGGTCTCTGTTTCTGGTCTCTCTCTGGTCTCTTCGGTCTCTGTTTCTGGTCTCCCTCTGGTCTCTCTCTGGTCTCTCTCTGGTCTCTCTGGTCTGTCTGGTCTCTCTCTGGTCTCTGTTTCTGGTCTCTCTCTGGTCTCTTCGGTCTCTGTTTCTGGTCTCTCTATAAGATATAATAAAAACAATATGAATAAAATTACACTGTCACATGTTCATATGCGGCAGTTATATTGTCACATGGTTCTGATGTCACATGGTTCTGATGTCACATGATTTTTCCGTTAATGTCTTGGTGAATATTTGTGAATCACTGGTGCTGTTTTTGCTCAGATTAAATGGGATTTAGAAGCAAAGCTAACCTCTGTCTTACTTCAGACGTTTGCATGTTTTTCCATCAGTCTGGACACGTTTGCATCTGCTTTACATCAGACATGTCCAACTCAGGCCCGGGGGCCAAACTGGGCCTGCAGCGGCAGCTTCAGAGGCCCCTGACATGGTTCTTAGTGATCATGATTATAGTCACTTACAGCATTGATGGTCATGGGGGACTATGGCACGTTATACTTCATTTTAAAGAGTTTTCTCTCATGATAAAACAATAACCAAATCTGTTCTATACTTTTAACTCAAATTTAATTCACGGCAAAGATATATTTTTTATAGTTTTCAGTCTTGAAATACGCTTTTTCTCAATATTTAGCACTTTTTGATTTACAATTTACAGTTTATTCTTAAAGCCCCAAATCAGGTTAAATCCAAACCTACCAGAAAATAATGATAATAAAAGAAAACCACATTTTTTATTTTGGCGCCAAGGCAATTGCACAATTAATTGAAAAGGAAACTCAAAGTGCTGAAAAAAGAAAGCATAAGAAAAATAACAGCACATTAAAAATAAAAATATAAAATCACTCAGTTGTAGCACAGCTAAAGAGAACTGTTTTTAACGTTGTTTTAAACATGATCAGAGAGGAGGCCTGTCTCACATCTTCAGGAAGATTATGTTCTTATATTTGACCCGTGACCAAAGTGAGTTGGTTCTGACTCCACTGTTCAGTTTGTGATGAGCTTAAAGAACAGGACTCTGGGTTTGTGTGTTTGTAAAATACATGAACATCAGAGAAACAGATGTGAGCTCACGCAGAGAAGCTAACACTGAAACTGCTCACGCTGCTTCACTTTGCTCACGCAGAGAAGCTAACACTGAAACTGCTCACGCTGCTTCACTTTGCTCACGCAGAGAAGCTAACACTGAAACTGCTCACGCTGCTTCACTTTGCTCACGCAGAGAAGCTAACACTGAAACTGCACACGCTGCTTCACTTTGCTCACGCAGAGAAGCTAACACTGAAACTGCACACGCTGCTTCACTTTGCTCACGCAGAGAAGCTAACACTGAAACTGCTCACGCTGCTTCACTTTGCTCACGCAGAGAAGCTAACACTGAAACTGCTCACGCTGCTTCACTTTGCTCACGCAGAGAAGCTAACACTGAAACTGCTCACGCTGCTTCACTTTGCTCACGCAGAGAAGCTAACACTGAAACTGCTCACGCTGCTTCACTTTGCTCACGCAGAGAAGCTAACACTGAAACTGCTCACGCTGCTTCACTTTGCTCACGCAGAGAAGCTAACACTGAAACTGCTCACGCTGCTTCACTTTGCTCACGCAGAGAAGCTAACACTGAAACTGCTCACGCTGCTTCACTTTGCTCACGCAGAGAAGCTAACACTGAAACTGCACACGCTGCT